GGGAACCGCTGAGCACTTTCAGGAAGGGATGGGCTTGGGGCACACCCCGCAAGAGGATCTGGCCACGGCCCGCACGGATGGCGCGAGGTCTCCTGGGAGCGCCCGTGGCGCCGCGCACGCAGCCCCGGCGCCCTCCTCGCGGCAGACCCGCTCCAACAGCGCCGGGCTCCGCTCAAACCGGGCTGCGCCGCAGCAGGCCGGAGGCAGAGCAGGGAGCAGGATGTCCCCCCGCCGCTGGCTGCGGGGTGGGCCAGGCCCAGGCGCTGGGCTGCCGCGTGAGCCCCAAGGCCTCTCCTGCTGGTATCCCCCGACACTACATCAATCTACTCCAAACCTCCGGCCGCCTCATTTAGACCCGCCAAGCTCAGCGCTTCCCAGGGACCCTGCTGCCTGGTGTCCCACCAATTTCCTCACCTCACAATACCGCAGCCCTGCAGTGAGCCCAGGCTCCCACAACTGCCCCAGACTGTGCCCAACGACGCAGTGCCAGGCCAGGCACACACGCCACGACCCACCAGGCGGGTATCCGCTCCACCAGCCCAATGCCAGCTCCGTCCTGCCAGCCAGGGCCACAAGGCCCTGTATCAGCACAGCAACAAACCCTCCCCAACTCCCTCCCTAAACACTTCTATCCCCCTTCCCGTTGTATCTTGTGCCAATACTGCCCTTTATCCTCACCAGTTCTTTACCCTCCATGGTGTTTACCCCAGTGTGGTCGCTCGTGGCAGTCAGACCTGCACCCAGGCCCCATGTTGAATCAGCCAGCCCTGGTGTCCTGCTAAGACAAGGGCCGTTGTTTCCCTGTCTGAGCCCGTTCGAGTTTGACTTATGTAGAGGTTACCAAAGCAATATGGGCCACCCCCTTCCGCAACGTCCTCCCATGCCTGCCATGGCGATTCCGTTCCGCAGGAACATTTCATAGTGGATGGTGGTGACTCCATGTCCTCCTGTGACTGATGAGTACCAAGATTTTTCTTCACCACTTCCTTAAGAGGTGCTCCTGTTTTGCAGCAGGATGTCTCAGTATTGGTGTCTCAGTGCACAGCCTTGTGCTCCATTCTGTTGAGCTCCACTTCTGCTCCTGTGTCCCTCCATGCTATGGGGCAATTCCAGCCCTCCCTTGCACCAGTGTTGCAGGTGGTGGTACAATAACTCATGCTCAAACTCCCACTCTTGCTCCAGCTCTGTCAGCTTCTTGGTCCAAGAACAGCTGAACCTACTGCATCACATACCCATAACCTCCTTCCTACCATCAGTGTACGTTCCTGCAGAGGTGGATGCACCAAAACCAAGTCACAAAGCCCTGCTGATGTCCTAAGCTGCCTGTAGTCTCCCTTTCTGCTACCCCAGGAGCCTGTCCTCCACCCAGTGTACCCACCAGGGCAATGCCAAGCTGCCAGCACTCACAACCTCTCAGAAACTAGGGAGAAAACGGCAGTGTCAGAAGCTCCAGCTCATGTTCCCTGGGAGGTCTCACTGCACAAGTCGAGCATTCCCCCAAGCCTGGCTTTTGGCCGTCTCCAGAATAACACAGCTCCACTGCCAAGGAAAGCACATCCCTCCTCTGGACATGGGAGTCTAAACACAGCACAGGTGTGGCCGGAGCATCGGAGGTCAAGAGGCTCCTCTGGGCGCCCCAGGGATCGCCCTGCGTCAGCAGGACAGCACTGACCGGAGCCTGCGCTGCCCCGGGAGGAGGCTCCGCGCCGCTTCCACAGCATGCTGAGCTTGCACCCTTAAACCTGAGCTGGGGGGGGAAACAGAGCAGAACAGCCCCCTGCCCTGCGCTGCGGATGAGTGCAGGAGGGTGCCAGCAGCAGCCGCGCAGGGAACAGCCTCTCTCCTCTCTGCTCGTGTCCCGGGCACCTCGAGCTCTGAATCCCCGTGTGACCTCCCAAAGGATTTGCCTCCTTTTTCCCCCGCACCGCTTAGCCCCGATCCCTGGCAGCCCTGCAGCCAGCTGCCATCCCCAGCCCTCTTGCTCCCAGTTTCCTGCTCTTTTCCTTCATGTCCCTGAGCTCACCGTCAGCTCCCAGGGCTTCCAGAGCCTCCCAAGTGCACACTGTGCCAGTGTGCAGGCACCACCAGACCCTCACCACTCCCGTCCCTCCTGCTCTCTTGCCGACTTGCAGGCACTCACAGCATGTGCCCTCTCTCCCCTCTCCTTAGTGTGTCCTCCCCTCCAAGCTTGCTCCTCTCCCACCAGGCAGCCCGGTGTGGGCAGGCTGCGTTAGGGAAAGCGATGGCTCCGGGTTTGCCGGACAGTTGCTTTTGGACGTCCACCGGAGGGAGAAGCGAACCCCGCGCTGCAATTCCCTGAGGATACATCACGGAGCCCAAGAGCTCGCTGCTGCGCTGAGACGGCCCGAGGCACCAGGGCTGCCTGGGCTCGTGCGCCTGCCAGCGCCACGGGCACGGCCACGGCCCGGCACACTGCACCTCGCCACAGAGGGATGTTTTGTCGGTGGCGATTTATACAGCTGCCGTTTAGCGTTTCCGACAGCTCTCAACGAAGCGCAGCAGGAACACTGCTGCAATTAACAACAAGCGTTTCACTGGCTGCTGCTTCAGCAATTTACAGGCTCCAGGTTAAAGGCTCATTCGGCGGCGCTCTGAGCACCACAATTCCAGCATGTCCTTAGCGAGCTGGATGGAAAATGTTCTGAAATTAATAATTAAACAAGACATTTGGTTCAGAACTCAAAGGTACAGCCATAAATACTGAAGAGTGTCCCAGCTGCAGGCTGCTTGATGCAAAAAATCAACGCATTTCACAGCACAAAAGCATTTCGGTTCTTCTGGCTTTCTACTGTTAGCATTTCACTATTGCACAAGGAGCAAATGATGCTCCTTAGAGAACCTGCAAACAGCGCAGAAGCTTATCATGGTAAATGTTTTCCAAGACTAGCAACTAAGTGGCACACCACGGATTTTTTTCTCCGATCCACCGTGCTCACAATTTCACGTTAAATTTCTGAGAGCAGAGATACCCCCATTTTTGCCTGTGGGTTTTCGTCACTCACTTGGGCAAAGGCAGGTTTGTGTCCTCCAGCACATGCTCGGCTCATGCATTTCTTTGGTCTTCCGGCTGCTGCCATAGGACAGTGTGGCTGCCTGCCCGGGCAGGGATTACAGCCCCCCAGACAAGCAACAAACTCGGCGCACACAGAGCACGGGGCTGTTTTAGCACGGCAGCTCGGGAGCAGCACAGCTCGTCTCCGTACGCTGCCACTTTTCTTTTTCTTGCTGCTTTGGTTCCTCCAGCAATTGGCGCATTTTAAGTTACATAAAACGCCCTGTGCCGCCGAGGCGGCCGCAGGTACCGCTCTTTCCCCGGCCCCATCCTGGCAGCGCCCGGCAAAGAGGAGCCCCGGGGGCGCCCGGCGCGCACGGCCGCGGCCCCGGCATTCCCGGCGGATAACGGCGGTTCCCGCCGGGATCCCCCCGGGCGGAGCAGCCCCGGAGAGCAGCGCGCTCCCCGCTTCCCGCGGCTCCGCTCTTACCTGCGCAGCGA